GGCAGAGCGCCGTCCCACTGTGAAAGCATCCAAGCGACCAATTGCACTGACTTCGATCACAATAAAGCAGTATAGCGACAGTGCTCCGTCACGGTCTTTTGCACTCAGAAAACACATCAAGCTGGACGTTCCACTTGAAGAGACAGCATCAGCAAAAAGGTTCTGGAAATGTAAATCCCACAATCTCGCTGGGCAGAATTATCACCGATAAACTGCATCACACCTAGCACATACTTCGAGTTAGATGCTTTTATTTGTGAACTCCACGACGCAGAGGTTTTGACGCTGCAGCGTTGGCTGAGAGACTATTTTTTTGTTTTTCATTCCGGGCGTTTTTTTGTTTTGACGATGATTGATCTCCGAGCGTGCCTCCAGCGTGTGGACTTCTTTCTTTCTTTCATAACTGATAAAAAATAACTAGACAACGACACATTGGCGTGTGGACTCTTTTGTACGGCTCACATTGCGTAGTAGTGTTCTCATAAGTGTAGGCGACGGAGATAACGATATCCCTACCCAAATATGTGTACTCTTAATTTATGTCATGTTACATTTCGGTCTATTTCTCGTAAAGCGTTATTTTATTTGGTAGCAAAGCACACAACCTTGTTCATTTATGCGACGAGTGGTGCGAGTAAGGGTTCTTTTGATCTGCCTAAATTGGTACTGCGAAACTTGTATTTGGCCATGGAGCTATACGACGTATTTTCCCGAGTACTCTTTCACCTCATAGTCTACTTCCTGCTCTCTCAGTGCGATCATTCCATTTGAAAATGTGATCTCCAACCTTCCGTCCTTTATAAGCGCGCCCTTTACTAGTCCTTTCCTTATAGGTGAATTTTCGCATGCCATATTTCTCGCCATCTCAAGCGCATCGCATATCTGTTGCGCGCAATCCGATGCAAATACACTCATTAGTAAGGCGTGGTTATGGTGTTGTGACGGCGGGGAATGGCAGTGGTAGTCGAGGGCACCACTCACTGTATACACCCGTTGGAACGATCTGCCATCTATCGGCCGAACAGCGAGTCATTTGGCAATATAGGTCATACGTCCATTTTTCTTTCGCTTTCACTACTGCGAGCTTGTAGCCCTGTGGCGCCATCTCTTTTATTCTTCGACAAGCACGGCATCCGGATTCGCTTCAAATAAAGCCTCTTTGGTGCGCGAGTTTTGAACGGAGGTAGAAGATTTGAAAGGTGTGAACAAGCGATCGGCGGCTTTTTCTGGGTCTCTTTCAGAATCCAAGGGTTATGTAGCAACTACTAGTGTAGTGAGAAGTGTTCACTTGGTGCACTGACCGAAAAGGTAAAGTTTGGTGTCTATCAAGTCACTTTTGAAGTAAAATATTTGTACTTTTTTGGCATCTTACTTCGAAAGGGTATCGGCGGACATCAAACGCGATCTCATGGTCGCGCTAACAGTGTCGGGAAGTGTACACATTACAGGTAATGAAATTACTTTTGGCAGGTAATGTTTCTGAGCGAGTGGTTAATAGAGATCTTGGAAAGACGGGGAGGTTTGCCTGGACCAGTTGTCCTATAGCAGTCTGCTCCGCACCGGAGGTAGGGGAACGGTGATTTAAAGGAGATGAAGAAAGGGGCAACAAAAATTTAAAGGGAAGGATGTCGGTGACGATGGGTACGGTATTATGATGCAGGAGTTCGGATTTCATTTTCCGGTCACTCTGGGACGGATGCCGTTGAAAACCGTGTAGTCAGTCCAGTACTTCTGAGGAAAACAAGGAGAGCTCTCGAAGGCATAGCGGCATTGGCTCTTGATGATCATGATTCAGGGATTTTTTTCCAAACTTATTGATTGGTCGCTAAATGTCGCCCGTGTGTCTTTCAATATGCACGTTTCAGACTCGAATGAAGAACACTCAAGAAGGACATGGCTGATTGTGTCTATGGTGTTGCATTTCTCGCAGGTCGGGGATGCGTTTCTCCCTGTAGGGTGCCAAATTCTTCTGTAAACGCAACACCGAGCCTAAGGTGACAAAGCGCTGGCTCGGTACGCCGTGGCAGTCCGGACGGGGGTCGGTACATCAGAGTCGGGGTCTAACGATCGCAGTCGGGGGTAGTCGGTTGTTTAAGGTCCACAGATGTGTCGTTATATTATATTCAAATGGTCTCGCGCTGTGCTACGATAATTGTCACAAAGCGGAATTTTCACTGCGAAGCTGTTATGCGCTAAGATCTGGGAAAAAACCCGTCTGCGGGTGTTGACGAAAATACTCTCCATTGGTCCCCATTGGTCCTAGAAAGTATGAATAAATAAATATAAAGAGGGGGCAACCGGCGTGAGTCAGCCTTCCTTGGCATTATTACATAGTGAATAGTGAGGTCCTGATCACTTGTTATCACCTCTAGGCACTGCCCTCTAGGTCGTCCCAGAACCTTGAGGTCGACCGAGAGGTCATCCTAGGCGTTGTCCTCGAGGTAGTCGTAGAAGTCGTCCTCTGGCTCGTTCTTGAGGTCGTCCTAGAAGTCGTTGAGGTCGTCGTAAACGTCGTCCTCGAGGTTGTCCTGCAAGTCATTATTGAGGTCGTCCTATACGTCGTCCCCTAGGCGTAGTCCTCGGGTCGTCGTAAAAATAACAGCTTCGCTGGTCCTCCATCCTCACGTAAAGTGGAAGGGCTTTACTTTTTTTTTTTTTTTTTTGCATACACCATTTTTGCAGTACATGCAATCTTCAAACCATTTTTATTACTGTACTTAAATGCCGCTCTGTCTGACGGGGCTGTGCAACAATATTGAATTGAAATGCTTCTCGCATTACACTACTTTAATGGCAATAGTGGGATACCGGCATGCTCGCACGCGACACCATGCACCGATCAAGACGCTTGGTCGCGGTGTGATGTTAAGGATAAAAGCAGACTTCCTCTTTGAGTGCCTCCTCGGAAAACTTTATGAAGAAGTTGTGAGTTGCCTTGTTGACATTGGACACGAGCACTGAGTGAACATTCGCCTGGGGCTCGAGGCAATCAGTGACTCGACGAGCATTCGGAAAGCGGCTCGAGTTCAGTGACTGTATAACTGCAATATCTAAACCCTAATAATGTGGACTGACCAGCGTGTTGATGCACCGAAAGAATAATACCCGTGCCACACGGGCAACACGAATGCCATTTACAACGAATGACATTTGAACGATCGGCCAATCAGCGCGCGTCACTCCGAGCGCGAGGCGTTCCACGCGCGAAAGATCGCGAGCCGACTCGTTGATCACACGAATGTCATTCGTTGTAAATGGCATTCGAGTTGCCCGTGTGGCACGGGTATAAGAAACAGGTGGGACGATGGACGACGTACATTTTTTTTTTTTTTCAACAAGCAAAAGCACAATAAAGCCACAGCGATCTTTTTCGGAACCACACTCCACAGTTAAAAACGAAGAAAGAGACATGGAAAGAGTGCAAAGAAAGAAAGGAGAGGATATCTTGAAAATTTATAAGATTAGAAGGTTAAAAGAAAGGATGACTTGACGGTAAAACGTATACATTACTCCTTAAAATTATGACCAAACGCCTGTGTCAATTCCGGAGTGAAGAACGCAATCTTATATCGAGTTAAAACGTGTAAAGGAGGATGGAAGGCAGCGCGTGCCCTATGAGCTGCCATCTCCAGCGCATGGTTGTGATTCACTTTGGCGCCATATAATTAGCACTAGGGCTGGGCGTCGATTAAAATTTTTATCCCGATTAATCGCCACCCTTCAATCGATTAATCGGTTACGTTAATTTTTATAAATAATACATTAACAATAATGCAACAACTCGTTTTGCCTTTGAAGACTTATTTTACTCTCTGTTACATGGCGCAAAAGACATTTAGAACTGAGGATACATATAGTTCAACGATTCAAAGAGTCACATATTTTTGCTCCAGCTTCGAAGGCAAAGAAGTTTGCCCATCTTCTCCGACAGGAAGACAAGAAGTCAGAGCTTGGGCGACGATTTCTTCTTTTTTTAGAGAAAGAGACCTCGATGGAGAAGGCGTTGACTGTTGTCTGCGTTTTGGCGGATGGTCCTTGCTGCAGCTACATGGGTGCTTCGCTCGTAGGCGATACTGAAGCGAACTTACGCTTCCAGTGTACAAAAACGGCTTTTTGCAGATGATGCAGGGGACTTCCTTCGAGTTAAAAACTTCACCGCTGGAGTTTACTTTAAACCCAAACTTTCCAACGAGATTGCCTTTCATACTCGTGAACTCGTCCATTTTTACGTGCCGAATACTGGAACAAGTAACCATGGCGTTGTTAGCTTCCCAGCTTGTTTTTCCGCTTGTTTGTCTTGCCTGGGCAGGATGTGTAATAGATCCTCAACACGTGAAGTTTCGCGGTCGCTCGGGGATCAATTGCGGGCCCGGGTTGTTCGTCTGGTCTCGACAGAACTGTAATGTGTATCCTCGAACACGGAACGCTTCGCGAGCGCGAAAATTGAACCTTGCTCATAGCACCTGGCTGGGAACGCATTTCTTTTGAGTACCGATTAAAAAACCGATTAACCGGTTAAAAAGTTTAATCGTGATTAAAGCCTTAATCGATTAATCGGAAGGTTAATCGATCAATTGCCCAGACCTAATTAGCACCAGCTCGAAATTCCGCTTGTTCTGGTTTCCAGTTGAGCGGGTGACCGCTGGTCAATGTTATCTGTATACTTTATACGCTGGTCAATGTCATCTGTCTCTCTTATACACTGGTCAATTTTGTCTATCTTTTTATGCAACTGTCATTGCGTCAAGAGGAAAACTAAGGCATGTTTTGTAGGCTATCAGTGTCAACGAATAATTCTAAGCGGTATTTATTGTGACAGCACGATTATCATCGGCTCCATCAAGCCGAGAACGAAGCAGCGAGTCACGTGCAGGCGGCGCACATTTAAACGGCGCCCATCAACGGTACAATGGGGCGCCAACGGGGCTGAGCCTGAGCCGCCTCGCCTCAAGAGTGCGTCACCGGACTCCGGAGATGCACCCCTGGCGCTACCAGGCCCAATGCGGAGCCACGCCCGACCCCGTCGCCTGCCTTATGACCATGTGGGGTACGGCCGCCTCGTCTTCAAGGCGGCTCGCACGGGCAACGAGCCCTACCTCCGCGACCTGCTTCAAGGCCTGGGGGCCTTCACCGCAGACCAATACTTGTCCTTTCTCCACAAGGGGCAGCTGGGTGCGTGTACGCCCCTGATGGCGGCCGCCCGAAACGGTCACTGCAGGCTGGTGACGACCCTGCTCACGAGGTACGGGGCACGCGTGGACATCGAAGGTTCGGCGCTTTTTGACGACCACTACGCGGTGTCCGGCGCGACCGCCTTGTGGCACGCCGTGGACGGGGGACACGTGGATGCGGCCCAGAGCCTGCTGTCTGGAGGAGCCAACGTCAACCATAGAACACAGCGGCACCACAGCGATTGGTTTGAGCCGGAGTTTGTGGCTCACGACAAGACGTGTCTGATGCTGGCCGCTCACCGAGGACATTGCGCCATGGTTACCTGTCTTCTGCGGCATGGCGCTGACCACAGTGCCAAGAGCGCCAACGGCGAGACCTGTCTTCACTTCGCGGCTAAGAGGGGACATCATTCCGTGCTCAGGGTGCTCCTGGCTTTCGACGCCGAGATCGCGCCGAACTGCTTCGGTGAGACTCCGCTTGTCCAGGCGGCCGAATGGCTTCACCCGGAAGTTGTCGAGCTGTTTTCCAGTCGTGCCGACGCTTCCAAACTCGCTAAGGTTGAAGCGCTGGAGCTACTGGGCGCCGCGTATGCGAACGACGACGCGTTTTATAATGTCGACCGGGCTTTTTCTTGCATGGCTAGTGCGTTGGCTTTGCGCTGCAGTGAAGAGGACCCTTTGCCCAAGAGTGTCTTACCGATAATCCTTGCTTACGGACCTTCGCCGGAGTGTGTCGCGCCGAGCGATCTCGCGGCCCTTGGGAACAACCCCGAAAGGTTGCAGATCGAATCTCTTTACATTAGAGAACGTATTTTGGGCTGGAACAGCCCGCTTACTCCGCGTCGAATGAGATTTCGAGCCCTCTCACTGCGGAAGAATGGGAGATACATGAGCGCGCTCCTTCTCTGGCTGAGAATCTTAGACATGAAGACAAGACAGACTGTCAGCCTATACCACGACCTAGTCGAGGTGACGGAGTTACTCTGCCAGATGCTTCATCACGGCGTCAGCATTCAAAAGGAATCCATGCCTTCCGTCTTCGCAGCCTGCGCGCGCGAAGCGGAGTTGATGTTATCTCATTTAGGGTTCGCGTCCAATTTCGATAACCACTTGCACACGTGTTCCTACCTCGTGTGCATCGCTGCTCACTTGTTTGGCGATCGGTCCATGGGCAACCCTTCCGCACTAACTGCAATACAGCGCCTCGTGGCGCTGAATCAAAGAACCCTGGCGGGACAGCGTACCTTACTTCACCTCTGCCTCGACGAACGCACTAGCATAGATGGCGAATTTTCAAACAAGGTGGTTAGTTTTCCCTGCGCTTCGGCAGCGCTGCTGCTCATTCAAGCGGGACACGCCGTGAACTGCCAAGACGCCAACTTGGCTACGCCACTGCACGTGGTCTGCAGGACTGAGAATATGGAAGAAGACTGCGTAACAACAATTAGGCGATGCATAGGGATTCTTGTGAACGCTGGCGCACACTTGGATATTGTAGACGCGTGGCGGAGGACGCCGGCGGATGTGGCTATGGAACAGCTGAATCTGGCGGCCCTTCTGATGCTCAAGTGGTTGGAAGAGCCGTGTCTCAAGTGTATTGCGTCTAGAGCCGTGAACCGCTACGGCCTGAGATGGGATGCCACTATTCCGGAGACTCTAAGAGCATTCGTGAGGCTGCATGGAATCTAGCTTTTTTTTTTTTCGGTAGTCTTACAGCATTGTTGCCTTACACAGGAATGAAAATAATTTAAGAAACCCTTGAAACTTCGAGTCGTGGTAAAAACGATTCACAATATTTTATCCGAATTCTTAAAAATGGAAGCTGTTCTGTTTAAAGAGATACCGAACCGAAATTTTGACCTCACAGAAAAAGGCTGGAGCGATAGGCACGACTCTGCAAAACCCAAAAGCATCACTCATACTGCGATATATCTAACGGATGGTCGTATTTTCGGAAAAGGAGTGCACGACTGAACACGGCCGACGAGGCCGACGAGACATGTCACGTGACGATTCTCATTCGCTCTGCTCTTCTCTTCGTCCCCTCGGGCTGCTGAACCAAAGCGAGGAGGAGACAAGGGAGGCTGCTTCCCCTCATTCTCAATTCTTTGAGGAGGATCGTGGCGTCATAGTTCTCGCTTGATCGCTCGCTTCTTTTCCAGAAATACGTGAATCCGTTTGAGATATCGTTGTATGAGTGACGTTTTGGAGTTTCTAAGCGCTCCGCTTAACGCTTCTGCGGCCGTATTTCGCGAAATCTAAATTTCGGTTCAGCACCCCTTTAAAAGAGTCGTGAAATTATGGTTTGGACGAATGCACTTTATACAGCCATAATAACCGAAGTGCAACACAACTATGTTTTCATGCAAGGCCACTAAGCCAGGGTGTCGTTGTCTACTATTTTACCGTTTGTGGACGACAGACTTATTTGTCGTGGTGTACCTTCCATGCTAAGAGTGGGATGTTTCTTCAGTTTCTCTCGCAAGGCTTGAAGAAATGGCACGCACAAGATACGACAGACGTGGTTTCGTTCCTGAGCGCAGTTAAATTACAATCATATACTTAGACTTTTTAACTAAAACCCGTAAAACTTAGAGAAACGTTGTCCAATTTTAGAATATGATTGCACCGCGTGGGGGACCTTCACACAAGGTCAAGTACTAGAGCACATACAAAAACGAGCAGCGCGGTTTGGGTCGGGTAACCGTGATTTTTCTAAAAGATCATCAGCTATTTGTAAGAAGTCAGAATATCTATTTGGCTTGCTGACCCGCGAAATTATCTCAGATTGCCTTTGTTTTGCAACTTATTCAATGGCCGAAATGCAATTCATAAGAAATAGATAAAAGATACAACTTATGTGTCGCCTCATAACGATCACCGTCTAAAAGACCGCGAGCACAGAACCAAATAAATATATTTAAATACCCATTTTTCCCCGAGAACTGTTAACGAATGGAATAGCCTATCAAATCGGAAATAGTCTCTTTGCGGGCTTCGTCTTTCCTTTATTTTTCGATTCTGCAGAGCTTTTTGTTTGGCTAAGTGTCAATTTGTGAATTTGATTGCATCTGTGCTTGACGATTTAAATGTTTGTTTTTATTTGGGGGCACATTTTTTATTATTCCACTATTTTTATACCTGACGTCATTGGATGTCAGAGCTTGGTCCTGTCTCGTCTTTGTGTCCTCGTTTTTTTATGCGCTTTACAAGTTAAATAAGTACCGAATATCCCACCACTCCACTTTACTTTCACTGGAACTTTTTTCCGAATCACACGCATATTTTGGTTGTATAAATTTAATTTTTTTATTGTCTTCCCCTGCAATAATACCCTGGTAAGGCGATACAAGTAACTGAATAAATAAATAAACTATAAACCTTGAGTATTACAGTCAATCGTACGGACACGCCTGTTTCTGTTTAGCCATTGGTTTGTTTGGGACATATGCATACGATTCTCGTGCTCACAGAAGAGGTAAATACCAGACAAAGCGCTCATAGGGAGCCTGGAGAACCAGCAGGTCGCAGCTGTGAACGGAGTGTACACCGCTCCAATGTTTACAAAATTACAGCCCAGCGTGGGAACGTTAGAGGCCAGCACGTGCATGGTCATCGCCTCGGAAAGCCCAGTTTTGGAATGGTCTATAGCACCCTGACGTTACTCGACGGCCTTGATCCTCAGCTTAGACGTTTCAACGTGAATGATACGTACAAGACAACCCTCAGCACTCATATGCAGTTATCCCGATCGGAAAAGAACGGCGCCGGCGAGCCAGATAGACGGCAGCCATTAATTCTAATTTTATCTATGACTATACAGCCGCACGCACTTTCTCATTCGGTAGTAGGGAGGGTTTGTCGGAGATTGCGGTACAATCAAAGGGTCCCCAAGGCGGGGAGCAAATTACCAAAGTACAAGATTTCCGCAATTGCCCCGGCCATTCTCGTCAGCCCCTTGCGTGCCCCCCCCCCCCCCCCCTTTTTTCCTTTGAAAAAAAAAAAAAAAAAAAGGCCGTGGCGGACCTATTACGAAGCCCCCCTTGCGATCCCTCCTCGCCATTGGGGGATGGCCACTGAGGGCTCGTGCCCCAGTTTCTTTTCCGGAATTTGCCCTACTTCCAGGGGCCCCCTTTCGGAAGGTGGGAGGCGACGAAGAGGAGGCCCCTCAGGGTTGCCTGCAATGGTCCCGGTGTCTGCCGAGGCCGCCGCCCGCTAATCATTTCGGGGGCGAGCGAGGTCCATTGAGCAAATTGTGCTTCGGGTACGGTGACTTGGTTCACATCGATGAGAGCTGTTTTTGCTGTTGTTGTTGTCATTTTTCTAGGTATCTGGGTTTTGCAGCAGTCTGGGGACTTGCAGGCACCGACAAGCGGACCTGATGTCACGCAGCTGCTTGGCGGGGTGCACACTCAGACGGTCGACGCGAATCTGGTTCCTGCGCACGCGCAACGCCCACACCTCGTGTGGGAACTGCGCGTAAACAGCGCGCAGGTGGGCCTAATGTTTTGCGGTTTATGAGATGACTGGGAAAATTATGACAGGAGTACGGACCCGTCGTTATGACCACGGCCTACTGTAATCCTGACCTGCTTCCTAAAGGATGGCCTCCGAGATGCTCCACTAGCCGTCCCGCTCGACTCGGACCTCAGCAGGAGGAGCACGTCATGCTAACTCCTCCGCGCTCCGCAAGTGGTGCCATAGACCCAGCCAAGCTAAAGTCCCTCGATACTTATTTTTACAAGTAACGAGAACCAATACAAATGACAAAGCGCATTCCGCTGGAACAAAAGGTCGTCATTCAGTTCAGTCTTCTTCTGTGCACCGCCATTCGTCTCCTAAAACCGGCACCGTCACGCAGTCGGCGCTTCAAAGAATGTCGCTACTTGTACGAAGCCATAGCCTCCTTGAGGCTCACAACGCCTAGCAGTTCGACGAGGGAGCTACAGATTGCCCGACCGCAGATTTGGAGGGCGAGGATCTGGTAGCACGGAGCATCAAAAAGACATTTCTCGGGGAACCTGGACCTCAGCGCACAGCTTTTGCAGCGGCGAGGACCCGAAACACACTTGTTCGCTCGGGAGAAGTGTGTTTCAGCGTCTCGCCGTAGCGGGGCGCCAGTCAGTCACTTGGCTCTTCTCTCATCCGTTGTCTGCCGCTCCACCTTTTCCATTTCGGCGATCGATTCTCGTGGCGATCTATAGGCTTTGTCAGTATATAAGAGGCTATGAGGAAGTTCTTATCTAGAAACTTTAGCAAAGCAAAGGCGTTTATCTTCCTCCCATCATTACCCTTCCTATGCATCTGCATTCTAGGAGATAGATTTTAAGCTTGACCAGGACCAGCAAGTCCATCATCTGGGCGTCGTAGAAAAGGTCAGCCTAGGGCAGCAGTTTTAAGCTCGTAGAACCTACGTCGTTATCTTTTGGCTCAATAACGACGTTTTGAATCGAAACCTCGAGGCGTGCTCGGCACACCGGCGTGATGGCTGTGTGAGTTTTCAGTGTTAAACAAAGGAGGTGGGAATGTTGGCTATTTCTGCCCGCGTTTTACGAAACTCCTCGTCGATGAATGCGTCAAGAAACGTGACTAGGTTTTCTGGTTGCTTCTTGAGAGCGCATACTGAAAATAAGGTATGTTAAAAAAAAAATTACCGATTAAGCTAGCCAGAGCGGTATCTGTGCAAACACCGTCACGATAGGCCGGTTTCACGAAACTGCGTTTGTACGTGCACTACTGCATAGCGCGTTTAACCCGTTGTTGTATTATTTTCTGTGTTCGCCTCATTTTCCATGTAAGCCATCTTTTGCCCGCAGTGGTTTTGGTTTTGGTGGGTCTCAGAAGCGCGTCGAGTTGATTCGCCGACGACGGAGCTAGAGAAGCATGATCATGAACATGTATGGGTTGTCTAACCTCTCGTTTACTCTATTCCATTCGCCTTCGGGGTCGGGCGCGTTTTCCAGTGATGAGGTTCCTACTGATTCCGCTTTATTACATTTTTCGTTGTTACCTCTACGTGTCATCAGCTCTCTGCCTGACTCTACATCGGGTGCAAACCTATCACTAGCAATCGGTCCCACCTAAAATTATCTAAAATTATCTATTCTTTTTAAGTAATTTTTGTTAATCTCGGTGTTTATTTTTTTCCCCACTCTGCGACAAAGTACAATGCGTGGAACTTGTAAACAAACTAGTTATTTTTCGCGACATCCCATTGTCTGTTTGACGAGTTGCGTCAAAGAGTGGTAAAATTGTTTGTGCCACATCTGCCTCGTAACTACAAGTCTGTTGGCAAGCCTGCCCCTTTTTATAATCGTATTTAAATATCGCACAGTTTACGAAAACTGACTAGTATTTGCCGGTTAACAAAGACGGGCTGATTAGTTGCCAGGTGTTTACTCGCGTAATCATTGTATCAAGCGTAAATAAGCGCGCCACAGTATGACTTGTGCAAATTACGTAATACGAGGAAACCAGAGCCGGAAGAAGTAATGAAGACAGGATTTCTCGTATTTAGAGTGAAAACAAACTTGTTGCTGCTGCACAGCCGACACGTTCCTGCAAGTTCATCCATTCAAAACGCACTTGCATGTGGTTCTAGTTGCCGCACCTCAAAATATGTGAACCATTTCGTAAGCACAATAACTTTGTTATCTTAAGATGTAAGAGTAAATTGTAGACCAAGTTGG